AAAAAAACCTAAAGCAACCAAGTAGGACCATTATTATAGAATTAAAGGTGAGAGTAAAAGCCAAAACGCCCATATATAAATCTATTTCATACGCATATAAAATATCTGAAATATGAGTAGACAGAAGAGCTTGACAAACATGGAGCACTTTAGAGCTGCTTCATGGCCAAGCACATTCTCATAGACACTTCATGAAATACATTAAGGAAAGGAAAACCTGCCTTGCAGCCTTCTAGTACCTCCCCTCAGGCATTTCTCATAAGCTATAACATGTACTATTTCATGCTTAATTACCCCATTATAAAATGCTGTAAAACAGTCAACTAACTTTTTCATCTTCCTCCTCCTCCTCCTCACTCGACTCCACATCATCCATGTCTTCTTCCAAAGCACTAACACGAGGTTCGAGTTGCTCAGCTTCTTCCAGAACATACCGTTTCTAAGAGAAATTACAACCTTATCTTACATAAGATAAAAAAGGACAAAAACCTAAGAAAGCATCTGCTGTGCGCAAGGAGTCCTGTATGTGGCTTTATGAACCAGGAGGCTGATGCAAGTACCAAACGTGATGTAGCTAAGAATTCAATTATCATCCTCTTTTCCAAACCTGTAATCGAGGCAGAATGATATCACACACGCGTTCCTCATGGAGTAGTTCATCAATAAATTCATCCACATGCATCAGTTCAAATTCTGGGAAAAAAAAACATTCAAGAGATGAAGAAAATTAATGCCAGCAACTGAAGTAAAGATGAAATGCTTCAAGCTTAAAAGGCTTGATATAAGTGGGCTGTACAAGCAATAGCTCAAAAATAATTCTTAAAGATTAGGAAAAACAATAGGTCTGCTTTGCAAAGAGAGAAAATCACAGCACTGGTAGAATTAGTAGATTCCCAACACTTAAATCAGCACTGATTATATTTGTTTTCTGTTTTGCACGAAAACTCACTTCAACAAACACCAAATACAAGTGTTTGGGAAACGCAAAAGATGCGAGGCAGGTCCCATTTGTAAGAGCTTACAGCAGGAGGCCATCCAATGAATGAATGAATGAATGATTAAAAATAAGATTTTAATGAAGTGCTTTGCCTACAATTCTTTAAGCTGTTATTACTGAAGCATATACTTAGGTTCATCTACCCTTATATATTTTTTCCAGCAAAAAACCACCTACCGTACACAGAGACACCTACGCTACGCGCCGGCGCTTACCCCCGTTTCTGTTCTGGCTTTTTATCTTCCGGTAGTCGTTGTAGAGCG